AACAAGGTCCGCTGTGGAGGAATGGTTTCGAGAAATCAATTTAAGGCGTCATCTGAAAGGAGAGCTCAAAAGAGACTGGGGAAATTGCCCGCCTTATAGAGCATGGACCATCAAATTGACATGAACCTGAACCCAGGGTAGGAGCTGAGACCAAAGCCTGGGAAAGCCAGCCACGAGGCGCATCGAATCATCTCCTCACCGTTATCAGCATGAAACCACCTTCTGGTCCCATGCTTTGCTCAACTGACACAACGTTGAGGGAAAATGGTGGGGTTGCTACGGAGATTTCCCGGGGGCAGAACCAAAGACAAGCTCTAGACTGCATCCTTGCTGTTACGTTAATGTAACCTCAGCATGTTGACTGCGGGCGCAATGCAATCGATGGAAAACTAGGCCGAAACTATGCCCTTTCGGTGCAAGGATACCAACGTTGAGGCGAACTTTTTGCAGCCCACCCATGTCGGACTTTTGTCAAGGACTTTTGGGATCCATTCTGGAAGGTCTGACGATTTAGGGTTAAATATTAACTTAAATGACCATTGCTCGTCTTTATCTATTCACTCTGATAGGCTCCTTCTGTTCTGGGTAGATGATGGGGAAGAATGCAACCGAAGCTGGGTCAGATTATGCGCTTCGGTACGACCCTGATGAGGTCCAGACCCTTGGTCGCCTCAACCAAAGGAGCTTCCAACGTAACATTGAAACTGCCTAGATAGCAGATACCCTGATATGGGCCGACAGAGAGGCCTACCGGGCTTGCTTGGCGTGTCCCCTCATCCGGCTGGCAAGAGGCCTCCCTGGATACATAAGGTAGCAGACGGTTACATTTTCTTGTTGCTTGAGCCTCTCGTTGACTAGGACTGTTCTGTGCCGAACAAATCTTCTTTCGATCGAGTCCAATGGCTACCAAGGCTAGTTTGGAGATCACAAAGGGGGGCTCACTCGTTGAGCCTACCATGGTGAACGAAAGCAACTCCCCGGACTCTGACCCCGAGGAGTCCACCGACCTTCTTCGCCCATTCCCAACCGAGGAGGAGTGGCAGACCCTCCCTCGCGTTGCAGGCAGCATCCCATGGACCGCCTGGACCGTCGCCTTTGTCGAGTTTGTCGAACGCTTCTCATACTATGGCACCAGTGCTGTCTGTGAGTTTTCACCCCTTCAGCAAGTAGCCCTCCATAGAGCGTCCCAGAGCTAACCCCTCCCTCAGTCGTCAACTTCATCCAGAAGCCCCTCCCTGCTGGCTCCAACACCGGCTCCGGCTTCCTCAAGACAAGTTCTGGTGCCCTCGGGATGGGTCAGAGAGCGTCCACCGGATTGACTACCTTCAACCAATTTTGGTCGTACTTTACTCCATTGATTGGCGCATACCTCGCGGACACGTACTGGGGCCGCTACCTGACGATTCAGTATTCCAACTGGGTCGCGCTGTTCGGACACATCGTTCTCATCATCTCGGCCATCCCGCCCGTCATCGTCCACCCCAAGGCCGCCATTGGCATATTCTCGGTTGGTCTCGTCATCATGGGCTGCGGCACCGGCGGCTTCAAGTCAAACATCTCGCCCCTCATTGCCGAGCAATACAAGGATTCCAAGGCCTACGTGCGAGTGAACAAGCGCGGCCACAAGGAGATCGTCGACCCTGCGGTGACAACGGCCAGGATCTACATCTACTTCTACCTCCTCATCAATATGGGCTCGCTGACCGGTTCCCTGGCCATGGTCTACTCGGAGCACTTTGTCGGCTTCTGGCTCTCCTTCACCCTCCCGACCATCTGCTACCTGCTGTGCCCAGTCACGCTCTGGTACTTCAAGAAGTCGTACAAGCTCTCTCCACCGACGGGCTCGGTGATGGGCAAGGGCTGGAAACTGATCAGATACGCCTCCAAGAGGAGCAACGGCTGGCGCGACCCCGAGTTCTGGAACCGCGCCAAGCCCAGCGAGATCCGGGCCCGCGGCGAGACACCGCCAGACTGGATGACCTTTGACGATGCCTGGGTCGACGAGGTGAAGCGTGGTGTGCTGGCCTGCAAGGTCTTCCTGTGGTACCCTCTGTACTGGCTCGCCTACAACCAGATGACCAACAACCTCGTCTCGCAGGCCAGCACCATGGTTCTCGGGTCTACCCCCAACGACATCGTCTCCAAGCTCAACCCCATCTTCATCATCATCGTCATCCCCCTCATGGACTTCATCGTCTACCCAGGACTTACCAGGATGGGCGTCGTCCTCAGCCCCATCAAGAAGATCACTGCTGGCTTTGTCCTCAGCTCTTTCGCCATGATCTCGGCCTGCGTCACCCAGTACTACATCTACAAGATGTCCGCGTGCGGGGACGACATCAACGCCCAGGTCAAGGCCGGCCGCAAGGACTGCACTGCCCCCATCACCGTCTGGGTCCAAGTTTTCCCCTACGGCTTGGTGGGCATGTCTGAAGTGCTGGCATCCATCACCAAGCTCGAGTAAGTCATATTGCAACGTTGATCCATTACCTGATTGATTGCTAACGGTTTCGCAGATACGCCTACACCAAAGCGCCCAAGAACATGAAATCCACCGTCCAGGCCATCGCCCTCTTCACCTCCGCCGTTTCTTCCGCGCTCGGACAGGCTCTCGTCGGCTTGTCGGAGGATCCCCTGCTGGTATGGAACTACGGAACTGTTGCCATCATCGCCATGATTGGTGGTATCGGATTCTACCTGACATTCCGCAAGGCTGATAGAGAGGAGGATGCCCTGAACAACCAGGAGGAGAGTAAGTTCATTGGAGAGAATGACGGCGCCCCAGATGAGAAGGTGGTGGATCTGAGGGTCGATGAGAAGCAGGAGACGAAGGAAACCAAGGAAACCAAGGATACTGCTGTCGTGTAGATTGAGCGTGCATTAATCTTTTGTTCGAACGGGAGATACCAGGTACTGCGAATTGGGAGGCCCGAAATGCCAATAAATGTACTCAGTGCTATAAGTGCGTTTCCAATAGTTACAACCCATTAATCCAAAGTGCCATCTCATCAGTATGGCTAGAGACTTCGCGCGATTGAATGCCGTGTTCGTTGGGATATCATAAAACAAGTCGCAAACTTCATGTTAATTGGTGCTCTGTCGACTTCCCGGCGCCGGCGAGCCAGAAGCGAATCTGGAAACCTGCCGCAGGTGCTCCGGCGTGCCCAGTGGTACCATCTCCTTGCCGTACTTCTTATGGGCCACCTTCTTCTCGCAGTTGGTGCAGATATGGGTGATGTGACACCTCCAGTTCTTGGCGTACGGAGCAACCACACCTCCGAGAGTGGTGAGGAAGAGACCCGTAGCAGCATAACTAATGGACTGTGAGTTTGGGGAGATTTCGACGGGGGTGAATGTTAGTCTGCGTACTGTGTTTGCCTTGAAGCCTCGTACTTCACACGAGTCTCTACTCGTTGACGGCAGAAGGGGTAGTCAACCCAGTCGGCCTGATCGTCCAGGAGGTGCAGAGGTGTGACGGTGAAAGCATCCCCTTGATCCATCATTGACGGCGCCTCGTTCCTCTTGGTGGTGGAATTAATGGAGACTGCGGAGGGATTGGAGTGTGCCATTGGTGCCGAGTTGGAACGTCGTGTACCGTCCGACGAGGAGATGACGACCTCAGGGAAGCCTCCGTCGTTCACAGGCGCCAGGCGTTTGCTTCGTTCGTTAGATCCACATCAGCCCTATCGATGCGAGGGTTCTTACTCTCTGGAAGCTTGGGTCTGATCGATGAACGAGCCCTCAACATCGATTGCCTGCTTCGACCTGTCCACTTGTGCGTACGAGGGCGGGGGAGTTGCGCAGTCGGGAGCGATCTGGGACGACATATCGGCAGCAGTTCCTCGAGTTAACAACAGCAATATGCAGCTCCGCGTCGTCGTTGGGCGGTAGCTACTTTAATGTTGGGACGGAGGAGGAGAGAAGAAAAAGAGGCCGCCTCCGTTCATCTATCTGCTGGGCCTCAGGGATCATGCTGACGGCCAGCCGCGTTCGACGTAGCGGCTGACAAGTGCTAACTATAAAGGGGCAAGATGGAGCGGTTCCATGCAATTCAGAATTTCAGGCGTCCCCAGTCCTTGTCATCAACCAGCCTTGCTGCTTCTAATTCTGTCCTTGCCCCTGGCGTTGCCTTGAATAGAATCCTCCATTGAGAGGGCTGACTCCGGAGATCTTGATTGCTATTTCTATTGAGGATATCGATCTGCAGAAGTCAAGTTTTGGAGAGCAGAGGAGGCGTTGCATGAGGCTAATGTCGCATATTGCATGGTCTTGTCATAGCGCGTCTGATCCTCATAATAATATAGGGAGATATCCACACCTCCTCCACTCATCCTCTATTCAAAGACGGCACGTCGCTGCCGGGGGCTGATTGGATGTTTTGTCTCGCAATTTTCCTACCAATTTAAGATGAGAAACCGAAAGCGAGCACGCAAGACTGCGCCTCAAGGGAGGCTTTGCGATATCATTCACAGCCAATATCAGAGTTCATATCTAGTGAGCGGCACCAGTTTAGCTTCTAATGCCCCTTCGTGAAGGCCTCGTCTCGTTCCAGCGACAGAAATCCGAAAGTAGATTCGTTGGAGAATTCATAGAAAAGTCAATTACTGTCTGGTCTGTTTAACCGCCTCTGCCTAGATTTGTCGATCCGATCCCTGGCCATATTACTCCCCGATATGCATTGGCTACAGTCTGATTCGTGAAGGTGAATCGACATCAGAGCAATCTTCAGACCCTCTTGGTGATGACAAGAACAAAAACAAAATATAAGAAATCCTCAACTCCATCCGAACTCATCACCCATTTTAGTGCCTAAACTCTCCATTTCCTATCAAAACGATCCGTCCATCAACTCCCCCGATTGTCAAACTTATTATTAGCTTCGCGCGTCGGCCTTGAAATCAATCCACATCCTTAGAATACCCCAAGTCTCCATCTCACATCTTGCTGTTTGGGGTCGAGATATCGGAAGGGAGATCGCGAAGAGTCGTTTCTTCTGGAGATTATTCGCGTGCCCTGACGCTGACCTTGTTGACCCTGCTCACGTGCAGAGAGTAAGCCCGAGCTCGCAGCATAAACCTGACGGATCCATTCAGATCGTGAGCGGATCGGCAGTGCATCAGAACTCTCCTGCTGTCGTGGTCAACATAGTTGCAGCTTGCGCGAGGGCACACGTAAGCCTGGCTGGCCTCGAGGAATGGGATCCGCCCAATTTCGGTTCGTTCACCCTTGAGTTGGTCCCTGATTCGATCCATCATTGCCGCAACGCTGTTGTCTTCCGGTGTGCTGGCGGGGAAGAGCTCCAAGCATGCTGTGAGGATGTGGCGGACGTGTGGAAGGGCATGGCAGTTGATCAGATGATGCTCGATATGGCGATGTGTGTTGGGGCACGCAACGTGGCAGACGGTGCATAAGACGACCTCCAACTCAGGGATAAGGTGAAAGTAGTCCTGGGGAGGTCCAAGATGCAGGCCTGGGAATGCCGCATTCAGGTTGTCAGCCCAAGAGCCTTGCTGGGAGCCTTGCTGCTCATGTCCATGTGGCCCAGCTTCGATCGTGTTTGTGGCGTTTGGTGTAGGAGCTCGTGAAGGGCTCCGATTGTAGAGACGAGAAAGCTCGAATTCCGCAGAGCCTAATGGAAGAGCTCGTGAAGGGTGCTGGTTGTAGAGATGGGAATGCTCGAATTCCCCGGAGTTGAGCAGAACTGGCGGAATTTGTAGGTTTCCATCACTCGATTCGTGTCCTGAATCAACAACAATGGTATCCTGGGCGAATGTTGGTGGACTGTCGTGAACTACCTGCGAGCCAGGTGAAGCTAAGGTCGGCTCAAGGTCGATGTCGGTCATGTCGCTTCCATCATCGTTGTTGTTCTGCCAGTCCATGGAGTCATCCTCTGGTGAAACCCTCGACATACTTCCATCCTGCTGGTTTGTTGGATTCTTCTTTTCAGGTTGGTTCTCGTTGTGATCCGTTGCTGGGTCTTTCTTCTCGGACTGTCCATAGAAGTCCTCAACAACATCATGGACGTTTTGGAGGGAAAACTCAGGGTCCCACCCCCACATCTCAAAGTCTCGTCGAGAAGAGCTGATGGTTTCGTGAACCATAGTGCCTAGGCCAAAGTATCCGTACCCGACATTTGCTGTATTTGGGTTAGATGGTTCAGTCTTGTTCATCGACGCGTCGCCTGGTGTGTGGCCAACACGTTGTTGATCCATCCTGATGACACAAAAGCAACAGCCTTTGTTGAGTGGGTGGATGAGGAGGTGGACTGAAAGGCTGTAAGTGAGATGAAATCAACTTCAGAAAGAGTTTAGAAAATTACTCTGATCAAAGGTTCAGTTGACTGAGTATGTTCTGATGAGCGTTGTGGTAGAGAAAGGCAGAAAGGTGTTGAGAAGTTGCGAGGAGAAAGAATAGAGAACTCGGTTGGGGTTGGGGGGAAAGCACGCGAGGTTCGTGGGCGAAGAGAAGGTACGGTGCAATAGACGTGCCCACATGCAAGAACCCTTCTCGTTTGGGGTGCGAGTCTTTGGCAAGTTACTAGCTAAGGTCACTATAGGTAACCGCGTTTTGGTCACTTGTTTGTCTCAATAGATTCACCCCACATTACTACTGTCGACTTTAAGATGTATTTATTCCTGATGCGGCTTCAACAATTATTTTTCATATTATTACGTTGGAACTGTAAGATGCTTCATGCCAACTCTTTCTTAAGCAAAAGACTTGATAATCGGAGCAAAAAGCATTCTCAGGCATGATAACTTAGGAAACTTCACACAAGCTCAACGAGAGCTAGAAGTTGAAAAGAGAGTTATTGAGAAGAGCCTCTTTAGTTAAGGGAACCCATAGCTACTTGTTGTGTAACTCTGCTGCCTAGTTTCCTCGGTTCTGAAAACGTGGATTTAACCTGAAGATGATCTGACCCAGACTAGCGTGAACCTCATGTAACCACAGCTTCTACAGCTATGGGATCAATATTATGGCGTCATATCGCATAGACTATGGAGGCTATTTCATGTCGTGGGGTTGATACTTATAGCAAACGTTCTGATTCAAATGTCCAATCCACCGTTGTCAGGCACTAATGATGCGACAGCTTGCTAGATATGTGCTAAATGCTAACATCGGAGAGTCATCAAGTCAATGAGAAAAGTTGCTTCAGATCTCTACTTGGTCGGCAAGAAATGACCACGGCAATATCAGTCAAACCTACTACGGGATGATTAAGCTGGGGCAACCGCTTTGTTGACAAGCCAACCAGTTCTGACGTCTCGGGGCTACCCTGAACCTTGATCAGTATCCTCCATGAAACTCAAGACAGTAGCAGCCAGCCTCAGAATAAGCCGAATGTTACCAGTTGCTTCTATGATATCTGGAAAGAAGGTGGATGGATATGAAAGAGTGGATGTGAAAAAAGTGCATGGCACACAGCGATTATCATGTACCTAAGGTATATAAGCTGCATTAACTGAAGTTTTGTAACGGACATCTACTCGGCATTCTTGTTCTACTACGACGATAGAAAAGATAAATGTGACTATCATCGACTCGCGTAGTTATTTAATGAACATAAATTGTAAATGGGCCTAGAAAGTCGATCCAGAGAATATCATTATGAAGCCAATGAACTAAACATGTTCAGGCGGAAATGCGAGTTCATTTTCGGGCCCAGGTGCAACCAATCTAATTGGTGACTGGGCTCATACCTGGCATATCGCACTTCGCATCTCGTATTAGGGGACCAAGGGCATCAATTTACCGCAAAGGACAAACAAGGTCTTGAAAGAAGCCCTTGAAAGCCAATCGCCAGAGACGGGTAATGCTCAGCAGAAGGAGAAACTGAGAGCGGATTTGATATGACGTAGTTTACCGACATATTACTTGTTTGTCGAAGTGACATCCAAGAGTTCGGCATACATGGGATGATGGCGAAGTAGGTTAGACATGGCCACCCCATGGGTGATATTACTTCGAGTGCCATAGGGCCCATCCCAATCATCGAAATGTGTCGTATTAAGAGAAACAGGTTGTGCATTTTTCTTCGGATAACCGCTGTATTATGGTAATATGGTCGCGGAATGAGATCAGAAACTCCCTTGGTAGTCATAGAGTTGACTGTTACTTCTAAACCCCCAAGCTCAACCTCAACACCAACAGAGGAGGCACAAGCCATGACTTACACACTCCCGCCATAAACCTCCCCTCACACCTCAAAACGTCTCCAACCCCATCCCATCGCCCTCAAACCTCTCCATCCTCCCTCCCATCCTCCCCTCCTCACCCACCACCCCTTCCTCGCACCCGCCTCACCCGAAACGTCAGAAAGTCCACCCCGGCACTCCTAAGCGTCTGCACCAGCGTCGTCCCCCACATGTCCTTCTCCCCGTCGTGCACCCTCCTCATGTGCTCCCTCAGCACCGCCCGGTTCCGCCTCGGCTGCCCGCACAGCAGGCAAAAGTACCCGCTGGCCGGCGGCCGCAGCCAGGCCACCTCGGGCAGGATCATGTCCGCCCGCGCCGCCCGCGCGTACAGCTCGCCCCTCCGCCGGATCATGTTCCTGTCGTCCTCGGCCGCGGCGAGGAGCGCGCGGGCCTGCAGGGCGGCCTTGTCGAGTTTCGGCCCGGGGGGCATGCCGTAGCAGGGACCCTGGAGGTGGATGCCGATGGCGATGGAGCTGGTGGGGACCAGTTCCTTGCAGGACTGGCAGTAGATTATCTCGAAGGGTTCGAATACGGCGAAGTAGGGTGTTTCTTTCGGGCGCTTTTGGACGCGAGTTGGTGGATTTTCACGTTGAAGGGGCCGTTGGAGTTGCCGGTGTACGTGGGAGGCAGGCCTGCGAGCCGGGGGTCCCATCTCCTCAAAGGGGTGTCCTGCTTGTGGTGAGTAGCTTGGCAAGGGTAAAGGGAGAAGGGCACCAGAGACTGACCAGGCATTGGGAAGGGCATCCTAGGTTTCCAACCAAACACTTTCGGGCCCTGTTTTATCGATGGATGCTTTCGAAATGTGATAGTAATGAGGGTGAGAGACCGGATGGAGTGTGTACAGTCAATGAAACGCTGAGTTGTGTGAAGGCGCTGTTGGTGAGGGCGATGATGAGGGCGATGACGAGGGCACCAAGGGCACCAAGGGCAGACGGGGGCTGGTTATTGTCTTCAGTTTAAACAAATAAACAAAGTACGCACTGCCCCCTGCTGGCCTTTCCCGCCGCCGCCTTGTGTGCCCTTCTGCTGCTCCTCCTGGTTTCCCTCCTGCGCCGTCCCCGTCAACACACGAGTGGCTGTATCATAAGCCGGCATCGAAACAGCCTGCCTCTGCGTAACTTGCCGTACCCACCCCTTTACCACATCCTGAGCCTGCAAATATAAATTATCGCCAGTACCAGGGTTGTGATATGAAGGCGGTGTCGCGTTAGCAACTACACATTATCATATGGCTAGGATTCTGGAACTTGTCAGCCTCGGAGATTTACCCTCCTTGACCTCTGTTACGAAATCATAACGCAGAATTGCATCGTTGCACTCGAGCTGGAACACGTTCCTTTGGACACAAGACCTACAGTAACCACCAACTCACTGGTGAGAGCAAATGCATCCAAGGTTGGCTTATTTTTATTTTCTCTAACCTGAACGATCTAGGTTTGGATCTCATGTGCTTTTACTTCACAGTATAATCAAGCTAGGTAGCCATTCTGCTTCAGCCAGTTCTCGACGTCCGCGGAATCACGCTCCAACCATCCCTGCTTTACCTTGATGGCATCGAGTGCCTGAGCCAAATCCATATCGATACCCTTCGTAGTATGCTTTTCGAAGAATGCTTCGACATCCTTCCTCTGCTCCTCCTTGGTAAACGACGTTGTGCCGATGTGAAGAATCGTTCCAATCATGCCGATCGAGGTAGGGAACAACTCTCGCAGCTGCTCCCAGTGTTCCTTGACCCAGGCCCACAGGGTGTTGATTTGTGCGGGCTTGCGGCGAAGCCCGCTCAGAATGAGGTACATATCCTGGTTTTTTACCTCCTTGCTGAGGGCGTAGTCGAGTGTTCTTTGAACGAGCGCAGGGTCGTCGGCGGCGCCCAGGCTGCTAAGAGCAGCGATACGCTCGCTGCCTGTCTTGGCTGTCTGATACTCCTTGAGCACGGCCTCATACTCCTCAACCCCACCTAGCCGGATAGCGGTAGCAAAGACGATCCGCCGGAGGTTAGGGTTGATGGCCTCGCGGTCGCCGTCTTTGAACTTGGAAAACATCTCCTGGGCTGCGGCGGTGGCTTTCTCGTCGTCTGAGCCACATGCTGCCCCGAACAGGAGCGTCTTAAATTGCTGCTCAATGTGTCCCTCTTTGCCGGTAAAGGTCCAGCCGAGTTCGTGGGCTCGGTCGCTCACAAGGGCTCGTAGGAAAGACTTGATAGCATTGTAAATGGCATCGCCCTCAAATAGCCAAGCCGTCTGCAGAGTACCGATGCGACTGATGATTTCACCCCAGACCTGGAACTCGGGCTCCGAGTTAAGCGACTGCAGAAGGTTGAGAAGGCCGGATGTCTTTTGATATCCAGCCTGGGTGAGCGCGCCGGCATCGGCAACCATGCCTGAGCGATCAGCCACGGGCAAGAGACCACTTTTGGCGGCCTGGCCGAGCTTCTTCAGTCGCTCAGGTGTGTAGAGTGTGCGGTAGATGCCTGAGTGCTCCGAGTTGAGCTTGAAGAAATCGAGATCGTCGAGCTTGAAGGTAGCCTCCCGGGTGTTGAGAGCCAAATCGTGGTTCACACCGTCCTTGGTGCGCACCCCTAGGAAGATGGGGTACAACACCTCGTCTTCCTCGGGCTTGACATCTGCCGTTCTGAGGAATCGATTTTGCTTGACATGGATGGTGTTTGAGGCGGTATCCTCGGTGACAGTCAAAACGGGGAAGCCAATCTTCTTTGTCCAGATGGTGCCGACATTCTCGACGTCCTTGCCGCTGGCAGCACTAAGCGCGGCCCACAAGTCGTTGGTAGTGGTGTTTCCGTAGGCGTGCTTCTTAAGGTAGTTTCGGATTCCCTCCATGAAGACATCCTCGCCAAGCCACTTGGAAATCATGCGGATGACAGCAGATCCCTTGGAGTAAGAAATGTCGTCGAAGATTTGGTTGATCTCGTCAGCCACCTTGACAGGGACCTCGATGGGATGTGAGCTTCGGAGAGAGTCCAGGGCCAGGGCAGAAGCCCAGCTATCGGAAACATAGCCATCCCACACCTTCCACTCAGGATAGAAGGCGTTGCACGAATACCATGACATCCAGGTGGCAAAGCCCTCATTGAGCCACAGACCCTCCCAGAAATCCATTGTGACGAGGTTGCCAAACCATTGGTGGGCCAGCTCGTGTTGGACGGTCTCAGCAAGACGATACTTGGTCCCCGAGCTGCTGGTGTTCTCATCAAGCAGGACAGCAACGACTCGGTAGGTGACCAGCCCCCAATTCTCCATGGCACCAGCGCTGAAGTCGGGAACAGCAACCATATCCAACTTAGGTAAAGGGTAGGGAATGCCGAATTCCTTCTCGTAGAACTCGAGGGTCTTGGCGGCTAGCTCGGCGGCATAGACACCATGGGAGATGTCCTGGTCGGGGGTGCAGTATGTACGAATGGGCAGTCGGAATTTGTTCGTCTCGTAGTATTCGAGGTCACCGATGATGAAAGCAACGAGGTAGGTCGACATGATCGGGGTCTTGTTGAAGGTGACGGCCTTGCGCTTGGTGCCGGGAGAAATGGTGGAGTCGACCTCGACCTCGCTGGCTACGTCCATATTGCCCAAGCATGTCTTGTCCTTGTCGGCAATCAGGGTGACAGTGAAGGTAGCCTTGAGGGCAGGCTCGTCGAAACAAGGGAAGGCTCTTCTGGCATCGGTGGCCTCGAATTGAGTCGACGCAATGAAGTGTTCCTGGCCGTCCTTGGACCACGACGAACGGTAGAAACCAGCCATCTTGTCGTTGAGGTTGCCGGTGAAGCGGTGCTTGAGCAAGGCCTTCTGGCCTGCCTTGAGCTGAGCGCCGCCTGTGAGGTCGATCGTGGTGGTCTGGGTTTCGGCATTGTGGCTGAGCGAGGGCGCGGAGGACACGGGCGTTCCGTCAACCTGGAGGGTGGTCTCGTGAATCTCGATATCGTTGACGTTGAGGGAGATGGAGTTCGAGTCCTGCTTGACGTCAAGCTCGATCTCGACGGTACCAACGTAGGTGAAGGTAGAGAAGTCGGGCTCGACAGTGAGGGTGTAGTGGACGGGCTTGACGTTGTCGGGGAGGACCTGTCGGCCCTGGGCATTAGACGCCATGGTTGTATAGCTAGGCTATGCGCTAGCGCCGTCCGTTGCGTTGACTTTTCGAAGTGTCGGAGGTGGATGGGCTTTGGTCATGTAGGTGTGTCGTTCAAGTGTATGGGACAAAGTCGGGAAGAAGGGATGGAGGAGAGAGAAGCAGCAGCTCGGAAGGAAGGTGAGCTGGCGATCGTTTCTACCCCGCCATTTAGGTGGCGCGTGCATGTCTCCATGCGCTGCATCATAGCGCGTCGGTGCACCACATTATAGCGCGTCAGTGCACCGACAATCTGCTTTAGTGCACGCTACGGGTGATTGAATGAGAGTTTGTAGTGACTTTAACAGAGGCACAATGGATCGGGTGGGTACATGCGGAGTTTGAACCAATCATGACACGTCGATAAAGCTCTGCCTGTGCTTTATCGGCATTGCGGGGCAGGAGGGTGATGACTCACTAAGCCGTGTTGAGCCGATCAGGGAAGGGTCGGCAAACTGGCACAGTAAGTTCTGGTGTGGTTGCTGACAAGCGATCGAGGTCGCCTGGCTGTTCCTCCCGCAAGTTTGAGCAGAAGAAAGGGAGAGGAGCGGTTACTGTTCAGAAGTAGATACACCAACCTAGTATCGCTTTGGTTGCTAGATGTATTACTACAAATTTATCTTCACCAAGTCGAGTGTCGGCAGAAAAGCAGTCATTGATACTTGACAGTCAGACGGTAGATTAATGAAGCACTCATGGCTAGATTAAAAAATAGCAAATTGACTTGCATTGATGAATACCTTGTTTATTGGGGTGATATCTTGTTTATTGGGGTGGTGAGAGTGAGCTGCGTCAATGCAACTTTGTAAAAGGTATCCCGCCCTTTAAAGCGTCTCGCCTGTGGGAGTTCCTAGATGACTGCGTGAGGTGAAGGCCCGACATAGTGTTCTGGACCAGGCTGATGCAAACTGATCCTTCGACATTTCCGTGCGGCAGAAAGGCGGATCATCGAGAATTTATTTTTATCTAGCGGAGATCAATCGACACAGAAACAAGTATGTGCGCCGGCCATAAATTACCTATTAGTTACGTAGCAGCTTTGCGAATGCACAGAGTTGCCTGTCTTTGATGCAGACCCGTCACGTCTTCCACCTCCTCATCCTTCTTCCCATTATAGAGTTTCAAGCGTGATTCATTCAATCGAACTTCTTGTCCTCGGGAAAAGTCGCCCTGCCGGCCTTTTTGCTGGCCTCGAGAGCGCCCGGCAGCGAGTACTGCGTGGGGACGCCGTCGATGCGGTGAACGCTGTTGAGGTTCTTGACTAGGGTGATCTGGTAACACGTGGCAGAGCCCTGGCGAGAGGAAATTGTGGCGGTCGCGAGGAAGTACTTCCAGATCTACGCGCGATGCTGTGGTTAGCCGATATGCTTTTATTATGGGCTGGGATAGCCTCATAAATCAACCCACCTTGAACCACCTCACGCCATACTTGGCGGTGACCTCGTCCTCGTTGTTGAGCCAATTTCTGTACCAGCGCCAGAGCGTGGCAGAGTAATGAACACCGATGGTGTCGATGCTACACACGTCAGTCAGCATAAATGCTCGGTATTCCACGGGCGAATGAACAGGCCTCGCTTACCCCTTGACCTCCCACCCAGCGTGTTCACAGAAGGCGACGTAGTATGCAAGGGGGGTCGAGGCATCGGCACCAGGGAAGACGTAGTGGTTCATGAACAGGCCCCAGACCAGGTCTTCGTACTGCCACGATTGCCTGATGCCGGCAATCTGCAGGAACATAACGCCATCGTCCTCGAGCAAGTCGTAGCATTGGCGGAGGAAATTGGTGATCTTGAAGATGCCGACATGCTCAGCCATTTCCAGACATGTGATCTTGTCGTACTTGCCCTCGGGAATGTCGCGGTAGTCCATACAGAAGATGTTGCTCTGCGAGTCGGGTACACCAGCTCTGCGCAGCGTCTCGTTGCCCCAGGCTGTCTGGTTAAGACCGAGGGTGATGCCAGTGACATTGGCCTCGTAGTTGACGCTGGCGAATTTAGCTAGAGTGCCCCAGCCGCAGCCGATATCCAGGAGGCTCTCGCCGGGCTTGAGAGCGATCTTCTCGCAGACAATGGCTAGTTTGTTGTCCTGCAGCTGCTCGAGGGACTCTTCCTTATCCACATCTGATATGATGCCGGCCGTGTAGACCATGCGTGGGCCCAGAAACCAAGCATAAAAGTCATCACCCCGGTCGTAGTGGTCCCGAACTTGGTTCTCATCCTGGGATCGGCTGTGGGTCAGAACATCGGAAGCGAAATTGACCAAGATGTACCTGAACAGCTCCCATGTGAAGCGGAAAGACGCCCAGTCGTGGCGGTATTCGAGCACTTCGAGGGTGTCTCCGTTGAAGTCGGCATCGCCATCAAAATATTTGCGCATAAAGGTTTCCATCGGCACCTTATGCGGACCCTGGTACTTGGCGCGGTCTGCCGGCTTGTGGAATGTCAGATAGTGCTCCACGGGGAGCCCGGGGCATCGGACTCTCTCATTGATGGGCGGTGATGTGGACGAGGCAATGGTCCAGAAAACGATGAGGACGGGGACGGTCGTTAGAGCAGCGAAGAAGAGTGTTGTCTTGAGCCCGCCACCTAGCTTCCAGGCAAGGTAGTTTGGTGCTAGAAGAAGCAAGAATATCAAGAGCTTGTTGGAGAAGTTTCGATTGCCGGGGCCGTCGGCGGGGAGGGGAGGGTTGTGGATCGCAGGGGACTAGAAGGATGATGATGATGAGACGTCAGTCAATGGCCCACGACGGTCCATAGTAGGGAATATACCGATGTGATCTTGACTCCAGGATGATATTCGGGCTTCTCGACCTTGAAGCTGGACGGCACAGCTGCGGGCGTAGGTTTGAAGGGGAAGTCGGGGCCAATGTCGTTGCCCATGATGAGGATGGCGAGGACGGCCGGGCTCTAGAGGGACAAGTGAAGTTGCACAGAAGCTTACGCCGGCAGTAACAGCGGTAAGCGAAAAGCCAAGCTGGGGAACGAGATGGAGAGTGAGGTAAGAGCTAGAGGAGAGAGAAACAGAGACTCCAACATTTGCTGGGAGGAAGGAGGAAGGGTGGAAGAGAGCACGTGCCTGTGGCTGCCTGTTCTGCACGGCGTGTTAATTACAGCGCATTACAGTGCATCAGTGCACACGTTTGTGCCAGCCGCCTGCTGGGATGGAAGATGTACAGCACCTCCTGGCCCCAGCCCACAGTTGATTTGGCCTGTCAGTTACCCCCTGCGTTTCCCCGAATAGCGGTCTATCATCTACCGAGATATTCCATCAGTACAACCTTGAATGTTGTTCTGATTGCTGGCAGCGACCCTCACCGGTTGTCTCATTGGAGGGGGCGATCTTGTCCGGCGCACCCAAACACCGGAAGTTTGAGAATTTGAGCCCAAGCATATGAATCTGTCCAGTGGTTGGGCGCTGGCGCATCAGCGAGAGGTGGCGTGTGTCTGTTTGGTTGAGATGTGACGTGCACCTTGATAAGCCTGCATCACAACCACCCGATGCATATCAACGGTTGATCTTTCGCCCCAAGAAGACCCGAGCCAGCCATTGGTAGTGGTCAGAAGAGGGGTATGCGCATGTTTGCTACCCAAAGCGCTCTGTGACGCACGTCAGTGGCCACGACTCTACGCCTGCAGCTGCATCCGCCGTGATCGATTGGTACGTGAGGACTCCCAAGTGGGCGCAATGGGCTGATAAACCTTAATTCCTACACAGGCAGATCATAGATGATTAGAATGCAACCCTAAATCCCGTATTGGATGTCGTGGTGTGCATGTCGGCATGCGTTGGCTCCGGATATCTCCCCAATTACAGGGAACATCGGGGTGTATAGGCCCACCATGTGAGCGTTTGAGAGTCAATATTGTCACAGTCTCACGCCATTCTCCCAAGACATGCAGAACACACACGCAAGAGCACGGTTTGATCCTATGCCACCAGGCAGGAAACGCAGGGCTTATATGAACGGGTCGTGCCGCAGATGGTCCTCCACGGTCCCCGCCACCGTTGTCCATACAAACTAGACCTTGACCAGGAGGGTTGCATTCCGGAGGCGTGTAATTAACCAAGGTCATAATAAATACGGGTGCTTCGATTAGCCAGAGATGCCGACTGCTTGAGAGCCACTGCTCAAGAACCATGCCCGGACATTTGCAAGTCTGGAAGTTAGTCATAATTGTCCTACTATCACTTACCGAAGCCCAGGATCTTTAGATTTTGGAACTTTTGACCTAGATTGGATCTACCCAGCACCGACTAAGGAACTGACCCTGGACACATCCCATTAGTAACATATCGCATAGTCGATGCCATACAAAGCCGTTCAAGACACTTGGCTGTATCTCCTTAGCTTGGCTAATATCAAATACAGTCACCCACTACGGCTCGTATTCGGTATATTCTCCCTAGCTTGGGGCTCGTCGGAAACTACGTAATATATGATGGTACCTGCATTGGCTCGAGAAGTCAACAATAAGAAACGGAATTATCCTTATCAAGGATTCTATTCTTAACCATCTCCTAGGTTAACCCAAGCTGAATTCTAAGTGCCTAGAATAAAGTCACATTCCATACTGCTATTGAAAGTTTCGTAGGAGAGGGCTAGGCTGAAAGCACATGTTGCCGTAGCCACTGTTACGCTACATGCATGTGTCTTGGATGCTATTCTCAGACTGCATCTTCCTCGTCGGTAATGTATTTCATAAAATCCGTGAGTCAAGTATGATTAAGGTTAGGTTTTTACGCTCTGACCATACCCAAAACTGCTTCGTAACCAATATCTAATACTATCAACTACCCCGCGGGCGCTGGGCTAGAATATAGAGCTAATCCACCCTACGCGTCACGAAGAAGGAATCCATTGTTCTGCAGTTTCTGGAAAAGCTGTTCGGGATCGTATTTGTGAGACACTTCCCGCATCTTTTTCACGTTCTCTGCACCATAACTGTGGATCACATCCTGGTTCAGGTTTGCGAAGCTCGCGCAGAGATAGTTCAGTAGCAAGCCCTGAGACTTGGCGGATGCTGTGAGAGCATCAATGCACGAGTCGACGGCCTTTTGGGCGGCCTCGTCGCTGCCCTCTTGTGGCCACTCAACGGTAAACACCCACCCTAAGCCGGAGTTAGAATCGCCGCGTGGCCAATCTCAGTATCAAAGTGTCAAATCAACTCACAAACTTGTGAAACCTTCTCCAGGCCCATAATGTTCCCACCTTTCGCTTCGCCGGCTGTAACACAGTCTGGTCCAAGTGGTTGGATTGTATAATGCAACATCACACCCTCAGGAAGCGTCTTAAGAGCCTCTCTCCAGGCATTGTAGGCTACTGCGTAAAGCTCCTCCGAAAACTTTGTGGTCAAGGTGCCGACATAGCGCCTGTTAAAGGATTCTGTAAGCATATATTACAAGAGAGGAGTCAAGTTGTCATACTTTAGATCAATACCGGGGTGTGACATAACCTTAGCAAGTGAAAACAAGGTGCCATTGGGCGTATCGCATGCCATCCCAATCTTGGCAGCACTCGTAGAGATCAAATCAAATGCTTTGAAGGCTTCTGACTTCTTCTCGGAAGTGTCCGCATAGATAAGTCCAACGGCGACAAATGCGGAATTGTAGTTTGTGAACATCCCAATCTTGGGGTCCTTCTCCATTTCCTGCTGGATCTTGACGGTAGCTTTATTGATCTCAACGTAGTTATCGGGGTTGTAAAGAGTGATATTATATTGCAGCTTAATCAAGGGGTGGGTGAAGAGATCGATTTGGGTGACGATACCTATTTGGCCCCAAGTCAGAGGACAAAGAAGTATTTGAAAGCGAGTTATAATGAATATTAGCAAGTAATCAAAGCGTCTTATAGCTTACCGAAATTAGTGCCACCCCCCTTCAGTGCTTGGAGGAGTTCGGCATTCTCTTCATGGTTGGCGTTGACAATTCTTCCATCAGACAAAACAACCTGCCGAGATTGGCAAGAAAGCCTAAATTAGCATCTAAAATGGGTCACTTAAACAAGCTTAAAACCTTACCTGGAGGTTCTTGATACCATCAGCGCCCAGACCGTGACGGTTGGGTACAGCGCCCATGCCGCCTAACTGCTGTCAGTGATCACTTATCCGACATATGGCAACATGGCTTAGTATCATACCGCCTATAAGAAAGCCCATGCCGACGGAGGGGTCACGGCCACCAATCACGGAGAGACCGTTCTCTTCGAGCCATTCGTAGACCACGCCCCAGCGGTTTCCAGCCCCAATATGGGCGATACTCCGGTCGGCGCTGATCTCACGGCTCTGAAGTAAGCTAAGATCAATCACAATCCCGGTCTCATCGCAGCTACTAAACCCCGGATTGAAGTTGTGGCCGGTAGATCGGACCGCAAACTTGGTACCTGTCTGTTTGATGATGGCAAGAACGTCGGCAACCTCCTGGGCACTCTCTACTTTGACATAGGCTCCGGCAGAGCTTCAGCAGCTTTGAGACCATGGCTGGTTGGTTGAAGCTTCATAGGATGCGGCAGCTGATGTAATAACACGGTCACCAAAAATGCTTCTGAAAGCCTCAATCGTAGATTGCACGTTTGCAGACATGGCGGGCTTCGAAGATGGGAGATTCCAGACTTAGTAACGTGGGTTTGCCAGCACTTTGTTCAAGAGTCTTTGGGACAAAGTTCTGCCACTAAGGCCCGGATGCGTGACGCTGTCTTTATATGGAGACTCTCTAGCAGGCTTTCCCTCATCTACATACATTTTTAGGAACGAACAAACCCGTGTCATGACGTATCTTTTGATGGCTAGCAGGGGTTCTCAAGGGCTGATGCCTCTAAAAGGCAATGTGCCTTCATGAATATTGCTCCATAAAACCAGCAGCGTTACGTACTAGGCCTTATCAAAGAACGCGGGCGGGGAATAGGAGAATACATACATCACGCTAAGCTAAAAGCTGTGCTCATGATGATCACTCGTTGAACAGAGTGCAAAAGGTCAGTCTGCAGCGATCGTTGCTCTCAGCAGCAGACAGATAGTTCAAGCCCATAGCGATGGTTGACAGCAGGTTGTGCTCACAGTAACTCCCTCGAGTTGTCCTTGCGACTGGATGTATGCCCTCGAATAAATTTCTTGAATACATACATGTTGGAAGGTAGGCTCCCTCATGTAGCTCCATGGATGTGCTAGCAGGGATTCACGCATTAGCGCAGTGACTTTGTCGGCGCCGAGGACGAGGATTGCAATTCATTCTCCATCGAGCACCAACAGACACCTATTATCAGCTAAGCAACAAAACGTAATATTTGCGTTAGCCACGTAACCATGCTAGGAGATGTAGGACCACCCGTATCATCACACATTACACCATGGCCGAAGTCTTGTTTTCATACATGCCAGTTGCCATTTCATGGACGAACCAAGAAGCTGCTTACCAACGTGAACAGTACCTCCTCAGTCATGTTGCGTTTGGCATTTCCACCTTCAGCCGCCTTATTGGCTCAACAATTTGGCGGATTCAAATCCCGGCCGAAATGTGACACGTTTTGTATGGTTACGGCAAGATAATTCCTGGTGCGGGAGTTAACATACTTGCATATGCTCACATCAGATATTGAGGTTTACCATAACATTCTAGATTGACCCAATTAAGCTACCTTATTGCAATTCCCATACGCTCAAGTATCTCGCTTTTGATGTCCCATCGGACCTGCTCACCTGGTGGTAGCCCCTTGTGAGTAAGCCAAATCATACCACCGTCAGCGTCCCCTTAAAACCTCACACATTCAGCAGGCTGTTGTTACTATGTATCGGTCTAATCGTCGACACTTCTTGATTAACCGTACTTCGAAACAATCCTCCCCAATGTGGCTTCTCGTTGAAAGAGTTTTCTTTCCCTTCCGTTCTTGTGGCTCAGATTGCGGACAGCCTAGATGAAATCTCCAGTGAGATAATCATCACTTGATGCTCTCATGTAATCATCGGAGCCCCATGCTTGCAGTCAATCCCTCTTTTAAATTTGAAGATCTTTTCTATATCTTTTCGGTTGGATTACGATGGCCGCGGTGACCAAGAATGGACTTCTTGTTGCCATTCCGCAGTCTCATATGCCAAAGCACTGCAACGGTGGCTTAGCCCATGACACGGGCCGAGATGTCACCATTACCCCCTCCAGCTAGTAAAGATATAGCTCCGGTTTATTTTGGCTATATATTTTTAACTAGGTGTTTTTGATTACTTTTCGTGACTATAAATTATCTACCTGCAGTAGGTGTACTTAACGGATTTCTATCATTATTAGAATGTGTACCGTGTTAATCTCAGAAGCTCACCGCAATCCGAGGGTTGCAATTGAATAAATCTTTAACCCTATATCCTAAGAAATGGGGTCCTAAAAGAACCGAGATAACTGGGCACCATATGTGAGATTTATTATGAAAAATCATGAATTTTATATTCATGCCGCCATCTGATGTTATCCTATAGAGATGTATGGAAAACCCAGTGGCCTCACCATCTCCATCTCGAGGTATTTCTTTTTAAATATATTCATTTTTTTCGACTGACCACAGTTATCAAAATAGTCAACTACTCTGCGTTCTGTGAAAGATAGCAGTACACATTACATTGGATGCGTTTCGGGCCAGAATCCGGAGTGTATTCAGCGGGCTTATCTCCCGGAAGCTCATGGGGAACTATTGGGTTCTAGTCTTCGTGGGGATTCGCTACGAAATCATCCACATGTTGTGGAATTTGCTACAATTCATCTTTTCGGTGAATTCAGCCACTATTAGACGACGTTCCGCCACATGTGGATGGTGCTGTGGCTAAACTTGTGGCTTACCTAGGCTGTGGCGTCTTCAGTCAAAGTTTTGTTGAGCCCAGAAGAAAGGCGGTGGGTTTACCAAATGCACTTGCATCCAGGTATCGCGAGCACTGACAGTACATTTTTATTGGTAATAAATTCAAAAGCGCATGAAATTGCCCTTATAATAAACAAAAATGATTGGGAAAACAAATTTATCTATGGAGAGAAAGGCTTCTCAGCTGTACTGGAGCAAGAGAAAGGTCAAGTATCCAGGTATAGGGTAGGCAGTATCCTCGGGACTTTCGAACACTCCGTCCGATCTCAGTCATCTCGGAATGTGGAGGGATGATCCGTCGGCTGTGGCTGCTTCAAAGATCAATCTGATGTCCCCTTGTTCCTCTTTTCAATGGCTTCTCATCATTTGGAGCGACGGTACAGCAGTATTGACAACAAGGAAGCTTGGCTTACATCTTCAATCGCTCCCATTGATGTGGCCGAACAAATCTCTCTGGAGACTCCTACAGGGCCTACCAGGGTGTGGTACCCAACCAGCAGATTGGCCTACCCAGAGGCAGCTTGGGCTAGAGTCGGCTTTGATTTATATTAGCATTGTGTTATGCGGGTGACGACGAATGTGAGGCTTTGCACGGATCAAACAAGGCCGTGCACACTGAGTAACCAAACAAACTCCATGTCGGGTATTTTCTATGGTCAATTGCATGGGATTAAAAAAAGGCTTATTATGCTGTTTGATGTCTCGTATCCCGCTAGCCCCTCGCTTACGCATCTCTAAGCCATCCGTTGCAGATTGATGACCCATTTCCAGGGCTGTAACTTCAATTGTGAGGCAGATTCACCACATCACACATCGCTTCAATTCACACGCAGCTCCAGTCATGCCCAAACTCCAGTCCTGCACTTGCGAAAACCAGACATGCTGAAGCGGACCAGGACTGGCTGCATCTCCTGCAGGTACAGCAGCAACCGCCCATTTGTTTCTTGGCAGCCGTGCTCACAGATCTCGCAGGATACGTCGCGTCAAATGCGACGAGACGAAACCGCACTGCCAACGATGCAAGTCTACCCGGCGAGTGTGCGATGGCTACCTCCCCGAGGGCCAGACCATGACGCGTCGCGAGATGGTCGAGGCCCTGTCCAAGATTGGCACTCTGAGACCTGCATCCGAGGTCTTGGCCGGCCCCAGCCAACCTGAGAGATGCCTGGCCCAGCTGCCGACCCAGACGATGCTCTCCAGCCGAGACTTCATCTACTTTGACTACTTCCGCAGAGCAACGGCCCCTAATACCGACGCCCTGATCCCCTCGGCCTTCTGGGGCCAGGACCTCCTGCAGCTTGCCCACACCGAGCCCGCCATATGGCACGCGACATTGGCTCTCGGCGCCCTGCACCGGAGATGGGAGCTCGAGTCGGCCGGACCGGAGACGGAGAACCTCGTCCGGAGTGCCACCTCGCACTACGGTAAGGCGCTGTCCCTAGCCAAGGACCTGCGCTCGCCGGCCAAGATCCTCGCCCTGAGCCTGCCCCTGATCGCGTCGGCCAACATGCTGGGCTTCTGGGACGAGTCTCACCTACACATCTTGTCCGCCTTCAAGATCCTCGCGCAGGATTCCGGCCGGATGCCGGATGCGCAGCGGATTGCGTCGACGTTGACGCGCATGGATATTCAGTCCATCACCTTCGACGACTCACGCTCGCCCTACCCATTCGTCGAGGCCGCTGCGGTGCGGAGTACCGACCAGGGCATGGCGATGGCGACCATCGAGTCATACTCGCAGGCTTCCTCGACGGTTTTCGCGCTGATACGGGAGGCCATGATCAACGAGGCGGCGTATTCCGAGGGCATTGTCGACGAAGCGACGTACCAGTTCGTCCAGGCAGATCTGCGTGACAAGACGGAGCGGTTCGAGTGTCAAATGGCCGAGTTTGAGGCTGGGCATGGCAGGTTACTCAACGAATCTGCCGCCATGACGATCCGCATCTATCACTGCTGGCTCAGATTCATCTTCACATTGGTAATACCCTGTCCGGAATCCCACTTCGATCTGCGGCTGGGCTATTTCCAACGCGTCATCACCCTGGCTTACGCTGTCATGAAAAGACAAGGCGTGTCGAAATCCGTCCAGCTCAGCCTGGAGCCGGCGCTGGTAGCACCGCTCTTCGACGTGGGGAAGAGGTGCAGGCACCCGGCTCTGCGACGCCACGGCCTGCAACTCCTGCAAGGGATGAACCGACACGAGGGGATGTGGAGAAGCGACGGGGCAGCGATGGCGCTCAATGCCATCGTACATGTCGAGGAGAGCCAGATGGCGTACAGCGCCGAGATGGTAGGAAGCATCGAGAACTACTGCGCGGTTCATTCGATGCAGGAGGAGGCATCCGCTGTTCCCTGGGACGCGTGGGCTTCCCCCGGCTACGAACCACCCACTAACTACTCGTGGCTGGGGATCGATCCCATCCCTGAGGAGCAGCGCGTCACTATAGTCAGGGTTGTGTCGCGATTTGACTCGCGGCAGCTGGACCTGGACTTGCTCATGAGTTCGTCTGCCTCTCTACGGCGGTCCGGATCCTCGAAACGTGTTACGATTAAATTCTAGGTATATGGCTGGCCCTTCTGGTCTAATCTGGCAGATAGAGCAAATGAAAGGGAGATGGATCGCGGGACCTTGCATGACCCGAGGCCGGACCCGGAAAATATCTCCCTGGAAATGATATTCAGATTACTTCACAAGGACACTGATGTATAGACACCTTTGAGTGCCAAACTATAGATGTGCCT